GCCGCCGCTCTCGTGGCTCCCGCCGCCTGGACTTCCCGGAGCTTCGGCCATGGAAACCCTAGCCCAACAAACACAAGAGCAGAGCCGTCACCGAGCAGAATTAAAATCAAAATCAAAATCGAAACCAGAAACCCTAGCCCCGCCATAACTGGGAGAATGAGAAAATGAAATAGAGCGCGAGAGTACCTGTTTGTATTTAGAGGGCTTTTATTTGGCGCGAGAGACTCAGATTTGTGGGGGAATTTGATCGGACGCTGGAGAAGAGAGGAGAGAGGAGACGACTGGGATGAGAGAGTGAGGTTTATCAGCACCGTTGGTTTTCTTTTTTGGGGGCTCTCTCTCTGGATTTGCCTAGCTTTTTATTTTTGTATTTGAGAGATGAGAGAGAAAGAAAGAGAGAGATATAGATTCCGTGTTCTTCTGCGGTTATGCTTCTGGCGTGGTGTGGTCATAACGATTAGACCACGTGTTTGGGGCCGTTGCAGGTGGATGCTACATCTGTGCGCTAGACGACGTCGTTGTGTAATCCCCCGGCCTCGCTTTGGATCATCATTTGTGTGTTTGTTTGTGAGATAGATGGATAAACATTGCCCCTGGCTACCTATGGGCCTAGGCCTGTAATTATCCATCCAACCGACAAGACATCGTTGCTAGTAAATTCTTTTTACAGCTCCTCATTCTAAATTTCTAGTTCAGCGCAATTGACAGTCAAGAGTAATTCCACCGCTAACTAGTTATTAGTTTAGTGATATCTTTCGTCCAATCGGTATGGTTTTGCGCAATTTGTAATGATTTCTAAAGAGACACTATTAAACGGGCCCTGAAAAAATAGAAGAAGTGTACAAAAATAAGAGGGGTTAATTAGTGGAGAAATGTTTGTTCTGGTTAACGTTTGTGTTAGCTCTTAATCTCATAGGTAATTCTATGTCCAATTCGTTGATTAATGTGGAAACCCACAAAGAGCCCTGGGTTCATTTCGGTTACATTCCATGCAAACCCCACCTTGCAAGCCCTTCACATTAGATTGTGGCTTTAGTCCAAACGTACTAATGGCGTGACTTGGCTATAGTCCAAACTTGTAACGTGCATAGCACGTGGAGCACTTCATGCAAAGCGTGAGTTTCAAAGAACAACCAAACATGTATTATTAGCAGCCCATGGATCATTTGGGCCCATGGAGAGCATAATAACGATGAGTAAAATTATGATCTGTACACCTTCTTTTTGCAAAGGGGTATAATGGCCATTAATAAACCCAAAAAACCCAGACCGCCCAAAGAAAAATCCAATACAGCATCCATTGTGCTAATATAATTTGCAAGATCAAAATTTGCAACTACAATAATACCTATTTTGATCCTCTCCTTAAAAAAAAAATTATAATGTCATATATACATTGCCAAGAAAATCGCACTATCGGGCAGTTGGCCGTGCGATAGACTCATCAATTGACAAGAAGTTATCTGTTCCACCAAGATCCATGGAACCCAAGTTCAAGGAAGAATGAATTGAATTCCTTGATGCGTCAGAGGTACCATCTCTTGCTGCTCCAGCATCCCTTTCCATTGAGATTGCATCTTGGATTTCCTTGAGAACTTCTGAGATTGATGGCCTCATGAATCCATGTGCTTGAACACACATTAAGGCTTTCTCTGCTATCTTCCACATTGACTGGATGTCATATTCACCATGCAGTGAGGGGTCGATGATGCCTTGAATGTCACCGCTCTCGATGTGTAACTTTGCCTGTGACAGCCATTTTTCACAGGTAACAAAGGAGTCCACAATTATATCAACAAACTTGCAATGGTGGCACAGAAGTAACAGTACAAATTGAAGAGAAACTCAAAATAAAATTGGGAGCATGTCGACTGTCAGCATGAGGGTATGTGAAGTCATAACATTATTAGCCTCTGAAATGGATTTAGTGGAATTGTTCAAGGAAAATAATCGATAATGTACGTACGGTTAGTGATCACAAGTTTTAAATACTTCCTTGCAGCACAAGCAAACTACACTTACCCATTGGACTATGTTGCGGCAATTAACACCAAAGTTTTCATTAGATATCGCTTCTTGACCGGATATCAGCTCAAGAAGAATGACACCGAAACTATAGACATCACTCTTGTCTGTCAACTGCTGGGAGATGTAGTACCTGAACGACAATGAGGAAAGAAAGAAGTAACAATAATTAATGCTCGCTAATCTGGGTTACAAAATGAAATTGCAAACATAGTTTGGGTTCAATTTTGGTTGGCATGTGCATGACTGAAAGAGCTCTCAGTATTACGTAACACAGAGAAGGAAAACACTGATTATAGCTGTAAACAGAAACATCCCTGGCACATTTTATTTTAAATTTTTCTGATTGCCTTTGTGAATAATAAGAGTCATTAAGTACAACTATTGTACCGCGTTTATAACCTATCTCGTAAATCTGTTGTCCATTTATGACACAAATGAATGACCAATTGGAGCACTCTACCAAAGGAAGGCATTTAGTGCTTCACAAGGCAGTAATAACATATTTGACTTACCTCAATATGATGTTAGATTTGATCTCAATGAAAAACAGATATGTTTATGGAAAAGAAAGCCTTACTCGGGATCCAGATACCCTACAGTCCCCCGAACTATGCTTGACACATGGGATGCTCCATCTACTGCAAGTTTGGAAAGACCAAAATCTGAAACCTTTGCTCTCATGTGATTGTTGATTAAAATGTTGCTGCTTTTCAAATCCCGATGAATGATGGCCGGAACACAGCCTGTATGAAGGTATTCAATTCCTGAACAAGCACAAGAAAACCCATGAGTCAATTTAATACTATATCCTTGGGGAGAGGCGCCTTCTCCGTCTGTAAAAACGAAAATAAGTAAAAACTAACAGAAATATAAGACCTTTTGCTGCATCTTCAGCAATCTCAAGGCGCTTGATCCAATTGATACTCTGTTCACGTGTTAATGGGCCTACAAATAATTCAAAACTCGTTGGCAGTCCAAATTTAAAAAGATTCATTCAATAAGTTGCAAGCTTACCATAAAGATGTTCTTTGAGAGTTCCATTATGCATGAACTCGTAAACAAGCATACTTCTTCCATCTTCTTGGCAATACCCAAGAAACTGTACCAGATTTCTGTGATGTATCCTTGAAAGAAGAGTTACCTAGATCATATACATGTGTCAGTCCATACGATTACATTTTTTATGTCCGACAGCAATAGGTCAACCCAAAGTAGGTGGGAAATCCTTCCACTTCCATGTCCTACTTACATTCTGTTTTATTTTTCTTTTACTAAATTGGTAGAGGTTTCCAAGCAGTCATATGCCACTAGTTTACATTTCATCTTTCATATTAGGGGGAAGTTTGACGAAATATTTATCAAAATTTCAACCCGAACAAAAAAAAACAAAAAAACAAAAAAACAAAGCAAAAAAAGGAAAAAAGAAGAATCATCCACAGTTCGACAAATAGAAAGATACAGACAGGGTTAAGCATCGTGAAAGAAAGAGGAAAACCTGAAATGTCAAAAATGTAAAAAGAGGTTCCAATCATATGAAAACTAACCTCATTTGAAAATTCTCGTTTTCCCTGGTACGAATTACTGGTTAGAACTTTGACTGCAATTTCCCTTTCATCCTTCATTCTACCATAGTAAACAACTCCAAAACCTCCAGAACCTATTTTCTTCTCAAAATTTCTAGTAGCCTCTTCAATTTCAGAGTAAGAGAAGCAGTGTGCAGCTTCAGTGGGAGCAGAATCACTCTTGGAAGAGAGTAGGCCTTGCCCAGGCAGAGGACGCCCAAGTTGGTGGTCTATGGCAAGTTAGTATAATGTCAGCACGTTCAAGCAACTGAAAAAAAAGAAGAAAAAAAGACATGTAAACCACTAAGACTGTTTCAGACTCACACCTTGATCATAATATTTCTTCTTTCCTTTGCGCAAAAGTACGCAAGATACAATGGTAACCATGACCAAGACAGCAGCCCCGACTGATGTACCAATAATAATGTTTACACGGCTCCCACTTGTTTTCCCTTTTTGAAGATTAACGTTTCCAGTGTAGCTGTCAGAATTCAACATCGAGAAGCGGTGATAAGTACATTGGAGTAAGTCCTAGACAAGGAACAGATGACTAGAATAGAGAGATAAATTAGACAAATTTGGGGAAGAGATAGATTTGATGAACCAAGATAAAGATATATCTGTGTACACTATAAACAGCATGCAGGATATAATTTAAGACCTGCACTTAGTGTAGGACATTCGATTACTATAACTGAATCAGACAAACATTTTAAGCTTTAGAATTAACATATGGCTTTCTTCTTATGTACTTCAATTTTAGCTGTAAAAATTACCACTCACTTCAAAACCACTTTATTGAGAAGACCCAACGGCACTGTTCCAGATAACATATTATTTTGCACATACCTGAAAACATAAGATTCACCAAGATATAAGATCTTATATTCAAAGAAGCATGTCAGACATCCCTTTGAAAATAAAAAAATAAAATCAACCTGAGCAGCATAAATAAATTCATAGGGATTTTCCAAATGCTGAAATATAATAATCATTGGTCTAATTCTTTTTTTTTTTTTCCTCAAATAGACACGCAAAAGGTATGAGATATCTTAGAATATCTTTATACATATGCAAAATTTCATAATTTGAAAAACTTAAGCTATTAGGGAATGGGCCAAGCTAACATCTTCTCTCATGTGTAGCTATGTAGAGATGCAGATAAAGAGAAACATATAGGTATAACTCTCTCATATCATGGACCTTGAAATGAACTAAAAAGAGGAGACTGGGGATTGGAGGTTTTGAACCCAGGACCTTCAGCAACTCGAACTCTAAACCATATTAGACGGACTACTGCTAGAGCCAAAAACTTACGTTGTTAGGGAACGGGCCGGCAATATATATCAACCTAAGATTTGCAACACACTGACACCCACACATGAAGTCTTCTAAACACACTTATATAACTTGTTCCCAAAAGCATGTGGAAGCCATGAGTTAATGCTAACCACTATTCAGTAAAATCATTTATGTAAATAATGAAATTATACACCAAGTGAGCCATGTGACTCATTGTTTGACAAGACAACTGCTACATAGTTTCACACACATTCTCTCTCCAACTTCAGTAAATGATATGTGTGTCCCAGAAAACTTACAGTTCCTTCAAACTTGGTAGGTTCGTTAAAGAAGAAGGCAGTCCACCCGTCAACTGATTGTTCTCGAGATGACTGTATAAAGCAAAGCCCTTTTGTTAGTGTTAACTCTGTAGGAAAAAAATCATTGGAGGAAGTGTCTAACTTACATGATCTTCAAGTCTACAAATCCAGTGAAATCAGGTATTGGACCAGTCAGTGAGTTTCCATCAAGCCATCTGTAATTAGAAGACAAATTAGTAATGACACTGCAATGAACATCAAGTTTTATGAAACTAAACTTGGAAATAGCTGACACCATTCAGAAAAGCAAGAATGCAATATGAAACTTACAACTCAATTAAGCCGCTCAACTTTGTTAAGTCGGAAGGGATATCCCCTGTCAAATTCTTACTAGATAATTTACTGCCAAGCAAGGGATACAAAAGCAGTTGTCAGCAGGGGACTATACGTATGCAGAAGCAGTAATAATTTGTATGAAAACTAACAAAAATTTCTTAAGCTTTACATTTTAACTACTCTTGGTTGTGGATCTGAGTTACACTCAACCCAAGACCAAGGAACCGGAAGGCATGGATCACCACCTTCATGTGCCCAGTCTGCTGATGAATAGTGTGAAGCAAAACTAGAAATAACAGCTCCTGCAACTCATACAAGCCCAGTATCACATATAGCTGGAAAGCTCCAAAGGATTCATTTCAGAGAATGATGAACAAGAGGATACACTTCATAACCATAAAGAAACAGAGCCCAAACATACATGCACTTAAGATACCACTATCAAACTTACCATCTTGAGAACCATCATTCTTTTCCAGATACTTATTTATCTCCATTGCATTCAAGAGTGGCCCTTTGGAAGAATCAGACGTTTTCCCAAATCTAAAAGATAATACAAATGGAAGGGATAAGTTTGTATATCCTGGTTCATACAGACGATATTTTCCTTGAGCGTTTTCTTCGATATTAACAATAGGTTTGCTGAGTTCAGGATTTCCCGGAAGCACTAGCCTAAACTTTCTGGACTCATCTGGAGCCAAATCTTCAATTTCTGCAAAGTAGGTGACTGCCCATCCGAAACCAGGAAAACCATCCAGGTTTAGTCGGTAAGTCAGCGATCCGTTTGTTCCAACGACAGCTGTCTGCATCACTTTTTCAGGTGGTCTTTCATCCTTATTAACATCAATTGGCAACTTAGTTGACACTTTTTTGGTTCCATCAGCAATGTCAACGAGGAAATTTGCTTTCTTGACAGAGTCTGATAACCATATTCTATCAAAAGGGTCATCAGGATACCTGAAATTTACAGAAATAATATCCTTTAAAATGACAAATCTTTGTCAAGAGAAAAGACTTCGGACTGCAAATGCGTATCTTCTTTGACAAAACCAGTAAGAACCTAGTACAGTTTTCCTAGCTCAGATTTTCTAATTCAAGGCATATTACAAAGTTTTATTTTGCACTAGTTTGAAACATACATTCAGAACAATACCTGATTGGAGCTTCATCATCTGCACCAAAATTAATCCTGGCAGAGACACTGAGATAGAACTGTTGTTCAAAATCAGTATAATACACCGAACCATTGAATTGTCGAAGCTCAAGAGTTGATATAAAAGGCTGCCCAGTCGTAGCATTGGATAAACACACACTGGCAGTAGGACTAGTAGCCAAAAATATTAGCTCTCGCATCTCTATGGTAGTGGCATCCGAAATGACAATCGTAGACCAATGGGTTGCCCCAAGAGAAATGTCAAATTTGGGATAAACATTATTGTTGTCAAAGTTACCATACAAGAATGTCGCTCTTAGAAGGTACCTAGTCCGTCTCAATGTTGAGTATTGCTTCCTCTTGTCATTCACAACAGATATAAAGCTTGTTTCGCCATAATTAAGTTGATCAGGAGTCCACTCCAGACCCAGTTCATCAGTGAAAACTCCTTCACCTCCACAATCCAAACTCACAAACCCTGCTTGACACAATGTTTACAAAAGTATTATACAAGGAATTTGGACTAATTTGACGACAACCACAACATATATTTTTCTTACAATCAGAAACTTGTAATCAATGGTAGAATTCATTAAAGCTTGTTCTTTAGCAATAAAATTGTCTCTTGTTCAAGAAAAAAGTTAAAGCTTGAACTGATTTGTTACTTATAAAGTCTTTTTATACCATATATGAACAGGGATTTCTAAAAACTAAGATAACAAACAATAAATACAATAAAAGTACATGTATTTGATTAGAATTGTTGGGATTCAATTCAAAGAAGAAAAAACTACAAACAAAAATATTTAAGAGAGAGAAGGGTACCTGGCATTTGAGCAGAGGAGGAAGCTATGAGAAGAAGAAGGGAGAAAAGGAGAAAGGAAATCTCCATGGCGTTGTGAAAAGATGAAGAAGAGAGAGGAGGAGACCATAAAAATGGCTCTGAGGAAAAAGCAAAGTGAGTGCGAGCGTGAGCTACAGAGAGATAAAGTTGCAAAGACAGGCAACAGTGAGAGAGATTAAAAATAAATAAAAAAGGTACAAGGTGAAAACCCAACCAACAAACCCGAATAATGGATAATAAAATACAGAGAAAATAAAAGAAAATAAAAAAGAAGGAAAAACAGAAAGGAGAGAACGGTGGTGGACGGGAGGGTAAGTGAGGGAGTCAGTGAGAGTGATTTGGAGTGAGAAGGAGTCTTTGATGGGGGCAGCAGGAGGTCTAATGTTTTTCCATCTGGGGAAGCGAGAATGGTTGGCCATGTGGGGGCCCACCGAATGAGAAAAAAAAGGCCCTCTGGTCTTGCGACTGGCAACTGCTGCAGAGTTTCAAGTTGGTAGAGAGATGATGATGATGAAAATTGCCAAGGAATAGAGATTCCAACATGAAGGCGTGGGTCCCGCCATTTGTTTTTGCACCATGACACATTCACATCGCGCGCACCCTTTTTTCTTTGGCGCTTTGCTTTTGTCAATAATTACAAACTTTTATAATGTCGACATATAATATTTTTTATTGTTTCAAATTAAATAAAATTTACCCTAAGGTCATCGGTAAAAAAGAGGACGAGATAACGAGTTAAAATTTTGATAGGTGAGTGATTCGGGTTCATCTAATATGACAAATAAATAATCATATTGTTCTAGACTAAATAAATAAAACAGTGTTCTCTTTGCATCGAATTTCCTTTTAAATCTTCAAGTTCATCATGATTTAGTCATACATCTTGATTCAAAAGTTCATAGTTGGTTACATAATTTCTCAATTGATCTTTTTAAGTCTTTTAAGTACATCATAATTTAGACATAGACCTTAACCTAAAATTCTTGATTTTTTATGTAAATTCTCAATTGTTCTTAATGAAGTGGGCTACATGTGTTTTGTATTGATAAGGGTCGATTTCCGAGCTTCACTACATGACATGACATTTTATTAAGTTTGGTGAATGACATGATGTTACCAAAGTAAGAATTGATGTTGGACATTCCATCTACTTTACTGTTTTGCAATACCTGCCATTCCATGGTTGATCATAAACTCATCTAAAAACATTTAAAAAAATAAATGAAATGGGAAATAAGAAAATTCCAATCTTGCTGAATAAAAAATTGTATTAATGAGTTAACCAACCAAACTGGACTAAATGTTCACGCGCAGACATTTCAACTTCTTATTAAGTGGCTCGAAGACTGCAGACCAGAACGTGCAAGTTGCAACTACTTGTGGCTTGTGCTTCCGGGACTACGGGTTGACCAAATCGTTGACCACATAGTCCATGTTCGAGAGAGCTTGGGTTTTCTGTCACATTTATAATTGTTATATATTTAGTTATATATCCATGTTTAGTATTATTGACATAGATAAATCTTACACTATTTACTAATGAGGGTTAGTTCAGTTGGTAAAGTTCATGTATTATGTGTAGCCCCATCAGTATTTGAGTCTCACTACCAGCAATCTTCATTGGTGCACGATATGTAATTTCCTACATAAATCTATACCGATAGAGTTGACAGTTAAGTGTCACGCATAAGTCCTTCTAGGTCGAGGTCGTGAGTATGTCCTGGTGCTGGTGGTGAGAGTAGTCAATCTCTCCCTAAACTTTTTGTCATTAAAAAAAAAAACCCTACACTATTTAATTTCTATAAATAAACTCAAAAATGACAACTATTCATATATTTGGTATAATAGTAAATCTCTCATAAAACTATTGAGAATTTGTCTCCTTACACTTTTAATTTTTTTAAAACAGAGTTGCCCCGTGAATCATGCAGTGTTTTTAAATATGAGATAGAAAAGGACTTGACCTGGGTTTTATTAGTATTTTACCATGCTTAGGTATTAGAATATATATATATATCTGTGATTATCCATGGACGTAAACTTTTTCAGAGCTATATTATATAAACGTAAAATTTCATGTCAAATCATTTCTTCATTTTAGACCAGTTCAAAGAATTCAATATTTCAAGTGTAATAAATGCCAACAAAGGTTAATGCTCGTAGCAGCAATAATAGACCTAGAAGGAAGCTCTACGGCTCCTTCCTTCCTTTTCCTTGCCTTTTATATCAAAGTGTAATGTTAGTGGAGCTCTGTCCAAATTAGCTTTACAAAAAGATAGCTGTTTTTAGTGCATCGATGTATACCTTTGCTTGTTGGACTTTGGAGTGAGATCAAAAGCTACAGACACTCAGACAGGCAGTCAATACATAAAAAAATAAGGCCACAACACATTTCTTAGGATCTAAGTATACAATACGGTCCCACCAGTATATAAAACAAGTCCAAATTACACTTGTAATGGTAAGTGTTTGGTGCCCAGAAAACACAGAGCAGCAGCACAAGCATCAAAGCCCCGAAGTCAAAGGGAAGCCTAGATTGAATCAATAACAAACACAATGGCCCAACAGCACCATTGGATTAAAACGAAGCTTGTAGGAACCCTTGTATTTGGCTAGGTCATTTTCTTGAAGGTTTTTTACATATATAGATTATAATTTGATACGTATGGCATAAAGCTTGTACGGATCTTCTTTGTAAGATTTTCGTTTGTTAAAAAAAAATTGGATTAAAACGACGATAATTATGATAAACACCAAATATGTAAGGTTTTCGAGGATTATCTTTGACATTAAGTGTCATATTAAGTATAATGCACAATCAGATACAAACCGCAACATAGGTCTCGACAAGAGTACGAAAGACTGAATCTTCCAGAAGAGCCTTATCTGATGGCAGCTGGATAAGGCCATTTTTCTCTCCACTAAGAAATTCCCTCGTGGAAAACAAAAGAAATTAAGGTCCAACTTGGGATTGCTATCATTTAAAAAAAAAAAAAATTGTTTCTTCTGTGCTTTGAAAATAATCAATTGTAAAGCAGTTCTATGTTTGGTAAATAATATTTTTAAAGTGTTGTTAGTATAAAAGGCAATGTAAAAACCGTTTAATAAATTTTAATATAAAACTAGTGTAATTGTGGATATTGACATGATGTTGAAAGTGTTATGTACTAACCATGTGGTGGTGGGAGAGGGAGGTATTGGCGGTGGTGATGGTAGTGGTGGAGGTGAAAATAAAGGTGAAGGTGGGCGGTGGTGATGAAGGTAGAGGTGAGCTGGTGGTGATGGTAGACGTCATTTTAGAAATTAATGATGGCATTATGGGAATTGAAAAAAAAAATTATTAAAGGCTCTTATCTGCTTCTTGCGAAAGCATTATTGAAAAAGCAACCTAGATGCTACTTCTAAAAGCTGCTGTCAGAAGGTCATTGCTTTTAAAATAATCAGGATATTTTATTTTGACCAAATACCTTAAAGTGCTTAACTTTAAATTGAAGCAAATTTTTGGCCAAAAAAGGCAATCCCAAAAATGTAGAATGATACCCTAAACCTCAAGAAATCATTCATCCTTCAAGATAGAGTTTACAGAAACTCAGGTAATGCATGTCAAGTGTTATGTGGTAAGGTTTCTACCTCCTCTTTTCCCATATGAAATTTGTCAGGTTTGACATTATTATTTCCACACTTTTGGTTTAGATGAATTTTAGTAGTATCCATGTTACGCATATTGGTGAAAACAATGAAGTTTTTTTTATTTTTGGGATTCTTTCTATACGTGTGAGTATTTATAACAGGCGATTCCTAAATTTGTGAAATTAAATGATATTTGGTTCTTTGAAAAGTCATGGCATGTTGAGCTTACAACTTAGAATGGTGCACCTAGAGATAAGAATTAAGTTTTGTATTATATTTCGCTTATTAAGTTTTATTTTCAAATTTTGTTCTTCGGTTAAACTACCAAGCTTAAGTCTTTACCCATTAATTTTAACAGGCAATTTCTTTTCTTAGACTAAAATTTTCATCTGAAAATAGAGAACGGTTGTTGCGAAAGCCTTTGATTGTTTCCGGAGGTTATTAATGGATGATCTGGGTCGGGTTGATGGATGTTATATGTATCTAGATTACTTATTTCAAAGTTTCTTGTTGAGCTACATCAGCAATTGTAGTTTCCGAGTCCAACAGCAAAATCATCATGTGTTTGCTAGTTCCATTTGATGAAGTTTGTGTTCGAAAACAATTATAATATAACCAAATAACAGAATAATAACAAATGAAATATGCTTTATATACAAGGACGGTCCCTAGAAAGGACTAACCTGAGCTATAGCCCAAGTGAGTTGTTATTTTATCAGCCTAAAATTTAATTTAGCCTACTCATGCCTACTAATGACAATCATGCCGCGTTTACATTCAAAGACTCACAAGTTCATCGCTCATCCAACAATACACTCAAGGAAAAGAAGATGAGACAAACTAATGAATTGAATTCTCTTTGACTATTCCATGACATTTTTGTGTAAGAGATATTTGTAAAGTTCTCTCTAAAATGAAAAGTCTTTCTATCTTATTATTACTTTTTTAGCCTGCTACCAACTTCTTGATATATATATATATATATATTATGAATAGTTTATTGCTAATTTTCCTTTCACTGATAACCCTCTTCACAAATTATCCCCTTAAGTGAAAAAATTAATTAAATAAATAAACTAATTGGTATGTTGCAGTAGCTACACCTTATGTTCCACTCTTTGGTGTGTATATAAAGTAAATTTAGCCCACTGCATTTTAAAATCCTAGATCCGTCTCTGTTTATATATATAATCAAATAATAATCTCACTTCTTTTGGAACATATAAACTATAATGCAAGACCGGTTATGACGCAGCACAAGCAACAAAGGTTTCAAACGAAAACCTTGAGTAACAAGATATCTGGATTCCACCAGAAATTGAGAGTAATTCTCTTGGTATAATTTTATTCAAATCTGAGTTACTAAAAAAACGTTCACCAAACCTGTCCATATATATATATATATATATATATATATATATATATATATCCTGGGCATTCCAAAGTGTAGTATAATGGTAGGCAAGGAAGGACTGCATTACATGGCCCAATTTATTGTCATCCCATGAACATATATACAGCCAGACAGAGCTTTATAGAAATTATTAGCATGGAGGCCTTCCTGGTGGCGGAGCTAAAATTTGGGCTCCTAGACCCTTTCCATTTTTCACAATGAACGTCACGTCCATGCCCCATGACATATGCCGATCCAGATGGCAGTGCATAAACCAAACTCCTGTGATCAACCAAAAAGTCATTGACATCAAATGATCAGCATCATTCATTATAACTTTATTAATTCAGAAGTTAACCAAACCAGAGGAACGTCTTACCAGGATTGTCTGCCTTGAATCTAATGGCAGTCCAGCCATTTACAGGGACAGCGATGGTGTTTTGAAGAGGAGGGTCA